TTTTTCTAATTATTTTCCGGTACATATTTAAATACAATTTGTCCGACGTTTTTCAGTTTTCATAAAGACGAGAAGATGACTCATTTGAAAACATTGAAACCTACATAGCACAAAATACAAAACTCTTTCGATTTGGTCATCAGCAACGATTTCACGTCTACCGGAATGTTCTAAGATTTCCAGATCAAATTTTCCACTTCTGAACCTTGTAAGCCACTTACGAACAATACATTCAGCTACGGCACCATCCCCATAAACGGCACATATCTCTTTTGCTGTTTGTACAGTGTTTTGTCCTCTCTGAAAATAAAAGATCATGAAATAACGAAAAACGGATCTCATTTTACTTCCATTTACACTTTTTAACGGCAAAGCCTTTATTTAAAATTCCAAATGCACTTACGAATCATAAAGACAGACTCCGTTGAAGTGACGTATTTTTTAAGAATAGGTAAATATGGCACAAACTTCAGTTACGTGTGAAACAAAGTAACGTGTGATACAAAGTCACGTATTCAGACGCTACCTATTGAAAAGACGAAATGAACTTTTGTTCGAAACAAATGCATTAAATTATTTTGAGGTGTTTTTCATTTATGCGCCATTTTCCTTCAGGATGCAGGCAACTATGTCTCTCCACAACGTTCCATCCTTAGTAGCTCTGAGTAGCGTTTGTCTTTTTACTATCCCTCCCCGTTCCGCCATTCATTCACACAAGTTGGTCAGATTGGTGACCTACTGACCCCACTACCGGTCTCTTCTCTCTTCGGTATGTCTTGTGAGTGTCAAATTATCCCGGCTCTCTTTCCTCATTATGTATCCAAGAAATTTCTCTTTCTGATTTTGAGTATAAGTGTCCATTTATTTCATATTTAAGCTTCCTCGTTGCTTACACGCTCCATCCGGGCAATTCTCAGCATCGACCTGTACAACCACATTTCTATTCCCTCAAATAATTTTTTTTCATTTTTTTAGGAAATCATCCAATATTCCCTACTCTATAGGAAGATTGACAGTATTTTTAGCATTCTTTTCTTTGTTTCTAATTAATTTTTTCTTGCTTCTACGTATTTTGCTTAGCTTTAGTTAGGCATCTTCATAGGTTTCCAAAATCTACCCCTTGCCACAGTTTTTGTATATTTAATAAGGTTATATGGAGGTACGATCGAGCAATGAATAGCGGCTCGAATTGAGGAATCTGACAGCCTTTTTAACTTCTGAGAGGGATGGAGTAACAATCCAGTGCAAAAGGAACCAACAAGCCATTGCAGTATTCTGCCTTGAATGTCACCATGAAACACAAATGTAAGATGGAGGCGAATGGTGACCACAGCAGCGGCGTAAAATATGCTAACTGAATAAATGATGAATAAGATTAGCTTGTTTCAGCACAAGGCACTCAGTGAGGACCTAACTCATTATAGTAATAATTCTCTGAGAGATTATCTCGGTAACCGTTATTCCACGCCGAAGCGTCCATGTCAAGCGTTTATTCGTGATTGCTTTTGGTTCGCTTGTGTGTCTTTTATGACGTAGACCTTTTCAATTTCTCGGATAAACTAATGTTGACTTTTCCATCAGATCCAATGATTACTGGAATGTTGTTTACCTCATTTAAGCACCGGAATGTTTTGTTTTTTTTTTAATTTCCGTTAATAACGATTTTTTTTTTTTGTTGTCTTTTTTTTTGTTTGTTTGTTTTTTAATATTTCGTCAGATGAGAAGAAAGTCGAAGTGGCAGCTGAGATCGGGAAATGAACGGCAGAGATTAACATTAAGAATGTCGATGACGCAGAGGCTGGTTGAGATGAAAAGGGGTTTGGGGGATTAAGAAAGGAAAGAAAAGAAAAAGTAAACAAAGAAGAGAAAGAAGCGTAGTAGTAGTAATAGTAGTAGTAGTAGTAGTAACGCTGGAATAAAAAAATCAAACAATGAGGACACGGAAGAAGAAATTATAATAGACAAAGAGAGAAAGCATGGAGGGCAAGAAGAAAAGGTTAAAGAAACTAAAATAAAAAATGAAGGAAAAATAACCAAACGGTGACAAGAAAAGAAGAAAATAAGGAAAGAAATTTTGAAGAAAAAATCCAAAGCAAAACCAGTGGAATGAAAAATATAAACGAATGAAACTAAAATATATATATATATATATATATATATATATATATATATATATATATATATATAGGTAACCTGGATATAAGAGAGAAGAAGTCTCTTATATCCGGGTTTCTCTTATATCCGGGTTTGGTCTTTTGTTTAGGTAAGTAAAGCTCTAATTTGGGACCATTGAAAATCTCTTTATATCCGGGTTTCTTTATATCCGGGTCTCTTATATCCGGGTTACACTGTATATATAAACAGATGTTACAATTATATATATATATATATATATATATATATATATATATATAAACAAATGTTATAATTATATATATATATATATATATATATATATACAGGGTCTACTTTTTTATGGAGCACTGTTTATTTTTAAATA